ATGATTTACTGTTTGTATTTTCGATATACTGAAGTATTGTGAATAATTTTCTTTACTGTACAGCGTATATACCGCCGCTTGAGTTCCGTTCTTTTTCGAAATTTAGTATTTTTCAGCATTTCTAACGATCTGATTGCCTTTACTAGCAAGTGTCTACTTTTGACTTTGCTGCACACCACTTACTGTTGCTATTCTATTTTCGATTTGCTATTGCCTTTTTTTTAGTCTATTTGCTTAATTATTGTGATTTATATTCAAATTTGATAAAATAATGGCTTCTAAGAAAGTAACTTTGGGTGATATTGACAGAATTGCATATAATATATCTCAGTGTAAGTTGGAAAGCGGCGAAGCATTGCAATTTGGTTGGCGTTATACGACAATGAAGGGTTACCGAGACGGTCAGAGCGGTTTAAGGAGTTTTACAGGTTTCGATTTTTCTATGAATTCGCCGGAATATTTATTGAAATTAAATCAAGTTCTAAGCAAGCTCAATTTAGGCGATTTAATTTCTGTGTGCCATATCCTTGATCTAGATTATTGCGGATCCGAAAATGAGATTACGGACCGTATTTGCACATTTTTGATAAATTTTGAAATGATGACGCAATAGAAGAAGACGAAGAAGACGAAGGAGACGAAGAAGACGAAGAAGACGAAGAAGACGAAGAAGACGAAGAAGACGAAGAAGACGAAGAAGACGAAGAAGACGAAGAAGACGAAGAAGACGAAGAAGACGAAGAAGACGAAGAAGACGAAGAAGACGAAGAAGACGAAGAAGACGAAGAAGACGAAGAACGAAGAAGACGAAGAAGACGAAAGACGAAAGACGAAGAACGAAGAAGACGAAGAAGACGAAGAAGACGAAGAAGAAGAAGACGAAGAGACGAAGCGACGAAGAAGACGAAAAGACGAAGAAGACGAAAAAGACGAAGAAGACGAAAGACAGTATGTCAGTACAAACGGAAGACGATACGTGCCGAAAGACGAAAGACGTTATCATGCTCCACAGGATCAAAGACGACATGGTGAAGAAAACATTAGACGCCAGGAGGATAGAAGACGATGTAGCTCAGAAGACGACGACAGCCATGATGACGTGCGAAGTGTTGCAAGTATAAACCGAAATATCCATCCTAGCTTCTCACTCACATTCAAGGACGTCGAAGACAGTATCAGACCTTTTGATGGAAAATCAGAATATCCTGTGAGGAAATGGATATCCGATTTTGAGGAGATGTCTGAATTAATGGGCTGGAACGACTTACAAAAATTAGTTTTTGCAAAGAAGTCATTGCGAGGTCTTGCCAAGGTGTATATCCAATCTGAGACAGGTATACAAAGATGGACAACTCTCAAAAGGAAACTAATAGAAGAATTCGAAACGAAGATGTCTAGTGGACAAATCCACAAAATGCTGATGACAAGGAAGAAAAGACGAGACGAATCAGTACAGGAGTACATCCTAACAATGAGAGAGATAGGAAGTCGAGCATACATAGATCCAGCTGAGGTCATGCAATACATTATAGATGGAATCCAAGACGAGACAGCAAATAAAGTAATTCTTTATGGAGCGAAGAATTTTGCCGAGTTAAAGAGAAAGCGAAGACGTATGAACAAATATGCAAAGCTAGATTAGGAGGTGTCGCGCACACACAGCTGTTCAGAAGCAAACACGAGGAAAATAAGAGAGAGCAAGGGAGAACCAGAACTCAAGGAAATTCTGAGACAAATCCCGAGAGACGAAAGGTGCTCGTTTGTTACAATTGTGGTTCCAAGGGACACAAATCAGCAGCTTGTCCTAACAAGGATAAAGGAGCAAAGTGCTTCAGATGTGGAAACTTTGGACATCTAGCAACAAGATGTATGATGAGGGAATCTGGCAATGAAGAGACCTTCAGGCACCATGGCGCCGGTTAATACAATAGAACGTGCCTCTGGAAAGAATTTGCTGAATGTGGAGGTTAAAAGAATCAGAATGAAGGCATTGTTGGACACAGGAAGTGACATCAATACCATGCGACGTGACACGTATGAAGATTTCTTCCAAAACATTCCCTTAGTGAAGGAGACAATTGTGATTAAAGGATTAGGTAACAATAGAGTTGAAACTTTGGGATCATTCTATACCAATGTCCTGATACACGGAGAAGAATTCGCGTTGACATTCCACGTTATTCCGACAGAGACATCAGGTTTTAAGGTCATCATTGGAAATAACCTATTAGAGCATGCGGATATCAGCATTAGCGACGACGGAATAGTTGTTTATAAGAAGGCGAAGACAACATTTTTGATGAAGATGACGCTCAACAACTACTCTACTGACTTTGAGGTAGACACGACGCATATCAGAGATTCAGCAATCAAAAAGGAAGCTGAAGAACTCTTACAGAACTACCAACCAGAGAAGACGAAGACCACAGACATAGAAATGAAGATTGTTCTGAAAGACGAAGAACCAGTGTATGAAACACCAAGAAGAATGGCCATATCGGAGAAGGAAGAAGTAGAAAGGCAGGTAGACCAATGGTTGAAAGAAGAAATAATAAGACCGAGCTCATCAGATTTTTCAAGTAATTTGGTGTTACTAAAGAAAAAAGATGGAAGAACACGAATTTGCTGCGACTATCGGAAGTTGAACAGGAAAGTCATTAAAGACAGATTTCCATTGCCCGTGATAGAAGACGTCCTAGATAACTTGCAAGGAGCTAAAGTATTCAGTACGATCGATTTGAAGATGGATTCTTTTCATGTAGCTGTAGAAGAAGCCAGTAGGAAGTACACGAGTTTCGTCACCCATAATGGACAATATGAATTCTTAAGATGTCCGTTCGGATTATGTAACAGTCCGGCAGTATTCAGAGATTTGTTTGTCACATTTTTCGGCCACTAGTGAACAAAAACATTTGTGTTTATTATATGGATGATATTATTGTTCCTAGCATTGACGAGAGAGAAGGCATTGAAAAATTAAAGTCGGTATTACAAGTTGCAAGAGACTACGGTTGGAAATTAAAAAGGAAAAGTGTCAACTGTTGAAGAAAAGGGTAGAATTTTTAGGGTTCATCGTAGAAGATGGGAAGTTCAACCATCCAAAGAAAAGACTCGAGCTATCAGGAAGTTCCAGAGCCTAAGACGCATAGACAGATCCAATCATTTTAGGATTGACGGGATACTTCAGAAAATTCATATGCGGTTACGCAGATATCGCTAGACCATAAGTGATCTGTTGAAGAAGAATCAACCCTTCAGATTTGAGGATGAACAACGACATGCTTTGACCTGTTAAAGAAGTTGTTAACGACGGAACCAGTGCTACATATTTACCAGCAAGGTTGCGAAATAGAATTGCATAGCGATGCCAGTAAATTTGGATATGGAGCATGCTTAATGCAAAATGTAGTGAAGACCAGAAGTTTCACCCTGTATACTACATGAGCAAAAAAACGACACCAGCTGAAGAAAAGTATAGCAGTTATGAACTTGAGGTTTTGGTTGTTATTCAGGCGGTCAAGAAGTTTAGAATTTACCTATTAGGTGTAACATTCAAGATTGTTACAGATTGTTCCGCTTTTCAAAAGACAATGAATAAGAAAGATTTGACAACAAGAGTAGCAAGATGGGCTTTGTTGTTAGAAGAGTATGACTACACCATAGAACATAGAAGAGGAGACAGAATGCCACACGTAGACGCTCTTAGCCGATATCCAGTGGTAATGACGATCACTGAAGACGAAGGGATAGTGAATAGGATAAGACTAGCTCAAGCAAAAGATGAAAATTTGAAGACAATAAAGACAATCCTAGCCAAGGAAAAAGATTATGAAGGTTACTTGCTGAAACATGACATTATGTACGAGTATGACAAAGGCAAAGAACTCCTAGTTGTACCGAAAGCGATGCAAACAGAGCTAATCAAGAAAGCTCACGAGAAAGGACATTTTTCTGTGAAAAAGACAGAAGAGCTGTTGAAGAACGAATACTTCATATCAAAGTTGAAAGAGAAGATAGAAGCTTGTATCAGAAACTGCATACCATGCATACTGGGAAGCAAGAAAGAAGGTAAGCAGGAAGGCTTTCTGCATCCCATTGACAAGCAACATGGACCATTACACACGTACCATATTGACCACCTAGGACCGTTACCATCCACCAAGAAAAGGTACCAACATTTGTTGATCGTAATTGATGATTTTTCCGAGACCATAGATGCCTGAAGAAGAAACAACAGAAGGTCTTTGGCAACCCTTTAAGGATAATCTCAGATAGAGGAACGGCTTTTACGTCCAAAGAATTTGAATTTTATTGCCGAGAAGAGAATATCGAGCACGTCAAAATTACTACAGGAATACCCCGAGGAAATGAACAAATCGAACGGATAAATAGAAGTATAATCCCTGTTTTGACGAAGTTGAGTATCGAAGACCCGATGAAATGGTATCAAGAAGTTGAAAAATTGCAGATGTGTTAAATTCGACATATCAAAGAAGTATCGGTACTACTCCGTTTGAGATACTGATAGGAACCAAGATGAGGACTAAAGAAGATACGAGAATTTTGGAAGCAATCGAAACTGAAATGACTGAACAGTTTTGTGAAAAGCGAGAAGAATTGAGAGCAGAAGCAGAGAGAAGAAAAATATACTCAAGGTTCAGGAAGAGAATAGGAAAAGGTATAATCTAAGAAGAAGGAAAGCACGAGAATACCAGAAAGGAGACCTAGTTGCTATAAAACGTACCCAATTTGGAGGAGGTCTTAAGTTACATAGGAAGTATCTTGGACCGTACGAGATCACACAGGTCAAGTATCCAGATCGATACGACGTAGTTAAAATTGGTAACCACGAAGGACCAATGAGGACGTCAACCTGTGCTGAGTACATGAAGGGGTGGATTGAACCTGAAGATAGCGAATCCGAGGCGGATTGCTAGTCAGGAATGGGCCGAATGTAGGATAAGGTTATTTTATCATTTTTATTTTTTTATTTTGCGTCAATGCGTAACCTTTGACCCTTGATTGACGACGCCTTTGCGCTGCCTACGCCACTGAACTAGAAAGCCTTCTAGAACAATCGAGAAGCCAACCGCTCAAGCGCCTCACGTTTTGACGGCTGACAGCGGGCAGTCTGTACTCAGCCGCCGATCGAGAAAGACACACAGAAAAGACGTGAACTTAGACGCAGACGGCGTTATATACACTCATTCAATATCGTGTATTTAATCAATAGACGGCCATCATTCATCTGTATCCACGGACTCGTGATTTCCAACCCCTAACCCCTAGACAAACAAACAAATAGCCCTACATTTTGGGGGCTCGTCCGGGATACAATACGATAACCAAACGTATAAGGATACAGATAAAAAGCAAGACGAAAAGACGTGGAGAAAGCTGTGTCGAGAAAGCCGAGGTAAAACCCTGAACGACCAAAACCGAAAACCCAGAAGCAGACGAAGCCAGTGAGTCATCAAGCGCGCCGCTGACGCCGAGTTTGCCGCAACGACGCCACGAGGCAAGCACAAACCGTAGCTACGAGAGGAGGCCGACAAAGACATTGATACTGTTGACGAGCAGAGGCAAATACAAGAGGCAGAACTGCAAGAGAGGTAAAAGATCAACGCACTCAACCCAAGGTAGGATCGTTTCTTTTTACTGGTTATGCTTGAAACATCAGAAGACAAATATTTTGTATATTACATGATTTAATGTTTTGTATTTTCGATATACTGAGTATTGTGAATAATTTTCTTTACTGTAAAGCGTATATACCGCCGCTTGAGTTACGTTCTTTTCGAAATTTAGTATTTTTCAGCATTTCTAACGATCTGATTGCCTTTACTAGCAAGTGTCTACTTTTTGACTTTGCTGCACACTTACTGTTGCTATTCTATTTTCGATTGATATGGCCTTTTTTTAGTCTATTTGCTTAATTATTTGTGATTTATATTCAAATTGATAAAATAATGGCTTCTAAGGAAGTAACTTGGGTGATATTGACAAAATTGCATATAATATATCTCAGTGTAAGTTGAAAGCGGCGAAAGCATTGCATTGGTGGCGTACGACAATGAAGGGTTACCGAGACGAGTCAGAGCCGGTTTAAGGAGTTTTAACAGGTTTCGATTTTTCTATGAATTCGCCGGAATATTTATTGAATTAAATCAAGTTCTAAGCAAGCTCAATTTAGGCGATTTAATTTCTGTGTGCCATATCCTTGATCTAGATTATTGCGGATCCGAAAATGAGATTACGGACCGTATTTGCACATTTTTGATAAATTTTGAAAATGATGACGCAATAGAAGAAGACGAAGGAAGACGAAGGAGACGAAGAAGACGAAGAAGACGAAGAAGACGAAGAAGACGAAGAAGACGAAGAAGACGAAGAAGACGAAGAAGACGAAGAAGACGAAGAAGACGAAGAAGACGAAGAAGACGAAGAAGACGAAGAAGACGAAGAAGACGAAGAAGACGAAAGAAAGCCGAAGACGAAGAAGACGAAGAAGACGAAGAAGCGAAGAAGACGAAGACGACGAAGACGAGAAGACGAAGAAGACTAGAAACGAAGAAGACGAAGAAGACGAAGAAGACGAAGAAGACGAAGAAGGACGAAGAAGACGAAGAAGACGAAAAAAGACGAAGAAGACGAAAGACAGTATGTCAGTACAAAAGGAAGACGATACGTGCGAAAGACGAAAGACGTTATCAGTGCTCCACAGGAATCAAAGACGACATGGTGAGAGAAAACATTAGACGCCAGGAGGATAGAAGACGATGTAGCTCAGCAGACGACGACAGCCATGATGACGTGCGAAAGTGTTGCAAGTATAAACCGAAATATCCATCCTAGCTTCTCACTCACATTCAAGGACGTCGAAGACAGTTATCAGACCTTTTGATGGAAAATCAGAATATCCTGTGAGGAAATGGATATCCGATTTTGAGGAGATGTCTGAATTAATGGGCTGGAACGACTTACAAAAATTAGTTTTTGCAAAAGAAGTCATTGCGAGGTCTTGCCAAGGTGTATATCCAATCTGAGACAGGTATACAAAGATGGACAACTCTCAAAGGAAACTAATAGAAGAATTCGAAACGAAGATGTCTAGTGGACAAATCCACAAATGCTGATGACAAGGAAGAAAAGACGAGACGAATCAGTACAGGAGTACATCCTAACAATGAGAGAGATAGGAAGTCGAGCATACATAGATCCAGCTGAGGTCATGCAATACATTATAGATGGAATCCAAGACGAGACAGCAAATAAAGTAATTCTTTATGGAGCGAAGAATTTTGCCGAGTTTAAAGAGAAAGCGAAGACGTATGACAAATATGCAAAGCTAGATTAGGAGGTGTCGCGCACACACAGCCGTTCAGAAGCAAACACGAGGAAAATAAGAGAGAGCAAGGGAGAACCAGAACTCAAGGAAATTCTGAGACAAATCCCGAGAGACGAAAGGTGCTCGTTTGTTTCAATTGTGGTTCCAAGGGACACAAATCAGCAGCTTGTCCTAACAAGGATAAGGAGCAAAGTGCTTCAGATGTGGAAACTTTGGACATCTAGCAACAAGATGTATGATGAGGGAATCTGGCAATGAAGAGAGACCTTCAGGCACCATGGCGACGGTTAATACAATAGAACGTGCCTCTGGAAAGAATTTGCTGAATGTGGAGGTTAAAAGAATCAGAATGAAGGCATTGTTGGACACAGGAAGTGACATCAATACCATGCGGCGTGACACGTATGAAGATTTCTCTTCCAAAACATTCCCTTAGTGAAGGAGACAATTGTGATTAAAGGATTAGGTAACAATAGAGTTGAAACTTTGGGATCATTCTATACCAATGTCCTGATACACGGAGAAGAATTCGCGTTGACATTCCACGTTATTCCGACAGAGACATCAGGTTTTAAGGTCATCATTGGAAATAACCTATTAGAGCATGCGGATATCAGCATTAGCGACGACGGAATAGTTGTTTATAAGAAGGCGAAGACAACATTTTTGATGAAGATGACGCTCAACAACTACTCTTACTGACTTTGAGGTAGACACGACGCATATCAGAGATTCAGCAATCAAAAAGGAAGCTGAAGAACTCTTACAGAACTACCAACCAGAGAAGACGAAGACCACAGACATAGAAATGAAGATTGTTCTGAAAGACGAAGAACCAGTGTATGAAACACCAAGAAGAATGGCCACATCGGAGAAGGAAGAAGTTAGAAAGGCAGGTAGACCAATGGTTGAAAGAAGAAATAATAAGACCGAGCTCATCAGATTTTTCAAGTAATTTGGTGTTACTAAGAAAAAAGATGGGAAGAACACGAATTTGCTGCGACTATCGGAAGTTGAACAGGAAAGTCATTAAAGACAGATTTCCATTGCCCGTGATAGAAGACGTCCTAGATAACTTGCAAGGAGCTAAAGTATTCAGTACGATCGATTTGAAGAATGGATTCTTTCATGTAGCTGTAGAAGAAGCCAGTAGGAAGTACACGAGTTTCGTCACCCATAATGGACAATATGAATTCTTAAGATGTCCGTTCGGATTATGTAACAGTCCGGCAGTATTCAGAGATTTGTTTTGTCACATTTTTCGGCCACTAGTGAACAAAAACATTTGTGTTTATTATATGGATGATATTATTGTTCCTAGCATTGACGAGAGAGAAGGCATTGAAAAATTAAAGTCGGTATTACAAGTTGCAAGAGACTACGGTTTGGAAATTAAAAAGGAAAAGTGTAAACTGTTGAAGAAAAGGTAGAATTTTAGGGTTCATCGTAGAAGATGGGAAAGTTCAACCATCCAAAGAAAAGACTCGAGCTATCAGGGAAGTTTCCAGAGCCTAAGACGCATAGACAGATCCAATCATTTTTTAGGATTCGACGGGATACTTCAGAAAATTCATATGCGGTTACGCAGATATCGCTAGACCATTAAGTGATCTGTTGAAGAAGAATCAACCCTTCAGATTTGAGGATGAACAACGACATGCTTTTGACCTGTTAAAGAAGTTGTTAACGACGGAACCAGTGCTACATATTTACTAGCAAGGTTGCGAAATAGAATTGCATAGCGATGCCAGTAAATTGGGATATGGAGCATGCTTAATGCAAAAAATGTAGTGAAGACCAGAAGTTTCACCCTGTATACTACATGAGCAAAAAAACGACACCAGCTGAAGAAAAGTATAGCAGTTATGAACTTGAGGTTTTGGCTGTTATTCAGGCGGTCAAGAAGTTAGAATTTACCTATTAGGTGTAACATTCAAGATTGTTACAGATTGTTCCGCTTTTCAAAAGACAATGAATAAGAAAGATTTGACAACAAGAGTAGCAGATGGGCTTTGTTGTTAGAAGAGTATGACTACACCATAGAACATAGAAGAGGAGACAGATGCCACACCGTAGACGCTCTTAGCCGATATCCAGTGTAATGACGATCACTGAAGACGAAGGGATAGTGAATAGGATAAGACTAGCTCAAGCAAAAGATGAAAATTTGAGACAATAAAGACAATCCTAGCCAAGGAAAAAGATTATGAAGGTTACTTGCTGAAACATGACATTATGTACGAGTATGACAAAGGCAAAGAACTCCTAGTTGTACCGAAAGCGATGCAACAGAGCTAATCAAGAAAGCTCACGAGAAAGGACATTTTTCTGTGAAAAGACAGAAGAGCTGTTGAAGAACGAATACTTCATATCAAGTTGAAAGAAGAAGATAGAAGCTTGTATCAGAAACTGCATACCATGCATACTGGGAAGCAAGAAAGAAGGTAAGCAGGAAGGCTTTCTGCATCCCATTGACAAGCAACATGGACCATTACACACGTACCATATTGACCACCTAGGACCGTTACCATCCACCAAGAAAAGGTACCAACATTTGTTGATCGTAATTGATGATTTTTCCAAGTTTGTCTGGATATACTCGACTAGATCCACGACGTCAAAGGAGACCATAGATTGCCTGAAGAAACAACAGAAGGTCTTTGGCAACCCTTTAAGGATAATCTCAGATAGAGGAACGGCTTTTACGTCCAAAGAATTTGAATTTTATTGCCGAGAAGAGAATATCGAGCACGTCAAAATTACTACAGGAATACCCCGAGGAAATGAACAAATCGAACGGATAAATAGAAGTATAATCCCTGTTTTGGCGAAGTTGAGTATCGAAGACCCGATGAAATGGTATCAAGAAGTTGAAAAATTGCAGATGGTGTTAAATTCGACATATCAAAGAAGTATCGGTACTACTCCGTTTGAGATACTGATAGGAACTAAGATGAGGACTAAAGAAGATACGAGAATTTTGGAAGCAATCGAAACTGAAATGACTGAACAGTTTTGTGAAAAGCGAGAAGAATTGAGAGCAGAAGCGAAGAAAATATACTCAAGGTTCAGGAAGAGAATAGGAAAAGGTATAATCTAAGAAGAAGGAAAGCACGAGAATACCAGAAAGGAGACCTAGTTGCTATAAAACGTACCCAATTTGGAGGAGGTCTTAAGTTACATAGGAAGTATCTTGGACCGTACGAGATCACACAGGTCAAGTATCCAGATCGATACGACGTAGTTAAAATTGGTAACCACGAAGGACCAATGAGGACGTCAACCTGTGCTGAGTACATGAAGGGGTGGATTGAACCTGAAGATAGCGAATCCGAGGCGGATTGCTAGTCAGGAATGGCCGAATGTAGGATAAGGTTATTTTATCATTTTTATTTTTTTTTGCGTCAATGCGTAACCTTTGACCCTTGATTGACGACGCCTTTGCGCTGCCTACGCCACTGAACTAGAAAGCCTTCTAGAACAATCGAGAAGCCAACCGCTCAAGCGCCTCACGTTTTGACGGCTGACAGCGGGCAGTCTGTACTCAGCCGCCGATCGAGAAAGACACACAGAAAAGACGTGAACTTAGACGCAGACGGCGTTATATACACTCATTCAATATCGTGTATTTAATCAAGACGGCCATCATTCATCTGTATCCACGGACTCGTGATTTCCAACCCCTAGACAAACAACAAATAGCCCTACATTTTGGGGGCTCGTCCGGGATACAATACGATAACCAAACGTATAAGGATACAGATAAAAAGCAAGACGAAAACGTGGAGAAAGCTGTGTCGAGAAAGCCGAGGTAAAACCCTGAACGACCAAAACCGAAAACCCAGAAGCAGACGAAGCCAGTGAGTCATCAAGCGCGCCGCTGACGCCGAGTTTGCCGCAACGACGCCACGAGGCAAGCACAAACCATAGCTACGAGAGGAGGCCGACAAAGACATTGATACTGTTGACGAGCAGAGGCAAATACAAGAGGCAGAACTGCAAGAGAGGTAAAAGATCATGTAACGTTACAATCAACGCACTCAACCCAAGGTAGGATCGTTTCTTTTTACTGGTTTATGCTGGAAACATCAGAAGACAAAATAGTATATTTACATGATTTAATGTTTTGTATTTTCGATATACTGAAGTATTGTGAATAATTTTCTTTACTGTAAAGCGTATATACCGCCGCTTGAGTTACGTTCTTTTTCGAAATTTAGTATTTTTCAGCATTTCTAACGATCTGATTGCCTTTACTAGCAAGTGTCTACTTTTTAACTTTGCTGCACACTTACTGTTGCTATTCTATTTTCGATTTGATATTGCCTTTTTTTAGTCTATTTGCTTAATTATTTGTGATTTATATTCAAATTGATAAACTAATGGCTTCTAAGGAAGTAACTTTGGGTGATATTGACAAAATTGCATATAATATATCTCAGTGTAAGTTGAAAGCGGCGAAAGCATTGCATTTGGTGGCGTACGACAATGAAGGGTTACCGAGACGAGTCAGAGCCGGTTCAAGGAGTTTTACAGGTTTCGATTTTTCTATGAATTCGCCGGAATATTTATTGAAATTAAATCAAGTTCTAAGCAAGCTCAATTTAGGCGATTTAATTTCTGTGTGCCATATCCTTGATCTAGATTATTGCGGATCCGAAAATGAGATTACGGACCGTATTTGCACATTTTTGATAAATTTTGAAAATGATGACGCAATAGAAGAAGACGAAGAAGACGAAGGAGACGAAGAAGACGAAGAAGGCGAAGAAGACGAAGAAGACGAAGAAGACGAAGAAGACGAAGAAGACGAAGAAGACGAAAGACGAAGAAGACGAAGAAGACGAAGAAGACGAAGAAGACGAAGAAGACGAAGAAGACGAAGAAGACGAAGAAGACGAAGAAGACGAAGAAGACGAAGAAGACGAGAAACGAAGAAGACGAAGAAGACGAAGAAGACGAAGAAGACGAAGAAGACGAAGAAGACGAAGAAGACGAAGAAGAAGAAAAACGAAGAAGACGAAGAAGACGAAGAAGACGAAAAAGACGAAGAAGACGAAAGACAGTATGTCAGTACAAACGGAAGACGATACGTGCCGAAAGACGAAAGACGTTATCATGCTCCACAGGATCAAAGACGACATGGTGAAGAAAACATTAGACGCCAGGAGGATAGAAGACGATGTAGCTCAGAAGACGACGACAGCCATGATGACGTGCGAAGTGTTGCAAGTATAAACCGAAATATCCATCCTAGCTTCTCACTCACATTCAAGGACGTCGAAGACAGTATCAGACCTTTTGATGGAAAATCAGAATATCCTGTGAGGAAATGGATATCCGATTTTGAGGAGATGTCTGAATTAATGGGCTGGAACGACTTACAAAAATTAGTTTTTGCAAAGAAGTCATTGCGAGGTCTTGCCAAGGTGTATATCCAATCTGAGACAGGTATACAAAGATGGACAACGCTCAAAGGAAACTAATAGAAGAATTCGAAACGAAGATGTCTAGTGGACAAATCCACAAAATGCTGATGACAAGGAAGAAAAGACGAGACGAATCAGTACAGGAGTACATCCTAACAATGAGAGAGATAGGAAGTCGAGCATACATAGATCCAGCTGAGGTCATGCAATACATTATAGATGGAATCCAAGACGAGACAGCAAATAAAGTAATTCTTTATGGAGCGAAGAATTTTGCCGAGTTTAAAGAGAAAGCGAAGACGTATGAACAAATATGCAAAGCTAGCTAGAGAATAGGAAAAGGTATAATCTAAGAAGAAGGAAAGCACGAGAATACCAGAAAGGAGACCTAGTTGCTATAAAACGTACCCAATTTGGAGGAGGTCTTAAGTTACATAGGAAGTATCTTGGACCGTACGAGATCACACAGGTCAAGTATCCAGATCGATACGACGTAGTTAAAATTGGTAACCACGAAGGACCAATGAGGACGTCAACCTGTGCTGAGTACATGAAGGGGTGGATTGAACCTGAAGATAGCGAATCCGAGGCGGATTGCTAGTCAGGAATGGCCGAATGTAGGATAAGGTTATTTATCATTTTTATTTTTTTTTTTTGCGTCAATGCGTAACCTTTGACCCTTGATTGACGACGCCTTTGCGCTGCCTACGCCACTGAACTAGAAAGCCTTCTAGAACAATCGAGAAGCCAACCGCTCAAGCGCCTCACGTTTTGACGGCTGACAGCGGGCAGTCTGTACTCAGCCGCCGATCGAGAAAGACACACAGAAAAGACGTGAACTTAGACGCAGACGGCGTTATATACACTCATTCAATATCGTGTATTTAATCAATAGACGGCCATCATTCATCTGTATCCACGGACTCGTGATTTCCAACCCCTAAACCCCTAGACAAACAACAAATAGCCCTACATTTTGGGGGCTCGTCCGGGATACAATACGATAACCAAACGTATAAGGATACAGATAAAAAGCAAGACGAGACAGGTATACAAAGATGGACAACTCTCAAAGGAAACTAATAGAAGAATTCGAAACGAAGATGTCTAGTGGACAAATCCACAAATGCTGATGACAAGGAAGAAAAGACGAGACGAATCAGTACAGGAGTACATCCTAACAATGAGAGAGATAGGAAGTCGAGCATACATAGATCCAGCTGAGGTCATGCAATACATTAGATGGAATCCAAGACGAGACAGCAAATAAAGTAATTCTTTATGGAGCGAAGAATTTTGCCGAGTTTAAAGAGAAAGCGAAGACGTATGAACAAATATGCAAAGCTAGATTAGGAGGTGTCGCGCACACACAGCCGTTCAGAAGCAAACACGAGGAAAATAGAGAGAGCAAGGGAGAACCAGAACTCAAGGAAATTCTGAGACAAATCCCGAGAGACGAAAGGTGCTCGTTTGTTTCAATTGTGGTTCCAAGGGACACAAATCAGCAGCTTGTCCTAACAAGGATAAAGGAGCAAAGTGCTTCAGATGTGGAAACTTTGGACATCTAGCAACAAGATGTATGATGAGGGAATCTGGCAATGAAGAGAGACCTTCAGGCACCATGGCGACGGTTAATACAATAGAACGTGCCTCTGGAAAGAATTTGCTGAATGTGGAGGTTAAAAGAATCAGAATGAAGGCATTGTTGGACACAGGAAGTGAGATCAATACCATGCGACGTGACACGTATGAAGATTTCTTCCAAAACATTCCCTTAGTGAAGGAGACAATTGTGATTAAAGGATTAGGTAACAAGAGTTGAAACTTTGGGATCATTCTATACCAATGTCCTGATACACGGAGAAGAATTCGCGTTGACATTCCACGTTATTCCGACAGAGACATCAGGTTTTAAGGTCATCATTGGAAATAACCTATTAGAGCATGCGGATATCAGCATTAGCGACGACGGAATAGTTGTTTATAAGAAGGCGAAGACAACATTTTTGATGAAGATGACGCTCAACAACTACTCTACTGACTTTGAGGTAGACACGACGCATATCAGAGATTCAGCAATCAAAAAGGAAGCTGAAGAACTCTTACAGAACTACCAACCAGAGAAGACGAAGACCACAGACATAGAAATGAAGATGTTCTGAAAGACGAAGAACCAGTGTATGAAACACCAAGAAGAAGGCCATATCGGAGAAGGAAGAAGTAAGAAAGGCAGGTAGACCAATGGTTGAAAGAAGAAATAAGAAGACCGAGCTCATCAGATTTTTCAAGTAATTTGGTGTTACTAAAGAAAAAAGATGGAAGAACACGAATTTGCTGCGACTATCGGAAGTTGAACAGGAAAGTCATTAAAGACAGATTTCCATTGCCCGTGATAGAAGACGTCCTAGATAACTTGCAAGGAGCTAAAGTATTCAGTACGATCGATTTGAAGAATGGATTCTTTCATGTAGCG